AGCTTTTAGCTTTCATTTCTTGACTACAGAAAAATAATACTGCGATTCCTTGGCAAAGAACTCAGAAAGACCACGACAGGTCAGGGTGGTTTTGACACTCTGGATTGCCATGGGAAAGCTCGGGTTTATCTTGTGTATCATGTGTAGGTGTTTGAAGGCCTAATATTGCAGTGCCCTGCAGTGCCCCAGGGTGGCGCGGCACCCTGAGGTCTATATGGGGCCACACTGCTCTGTCTTCTGCCTAACTTCACATAGACTTGGCTAACTCCGGTACTTCTCAGTGCATTTCCCAAGGGAGTTTGCTACTGTTTCAGTGAAGCATTTGAACTCTCACTGAGTTGGTTCCCAAATCCCCTTCCATCAAAGTGTCCCAGCATAACCTTGGAGCTTCATAACTCCTGGAAAAAGTCACGTTTTGGGTGTCTTCAGTTGTCAATTCAGCATTTTGCTTTCCGTCCTCGCAGAAGAGACTGATCTTTCCCCTCCCTGACATTTCAGAGAGGGCATGTACTTTTTAAATAAGCATTTTTAATATGCCCCCTCCAAATACTTGTACACGTTGCCCTGTGGGAAAAGACTGCTCACAGCAACAGAACAAAGCACTTGCCCAAGTGTTGCAACCTCGAGGTTTTAGCCGGTAGGCCTCTTGTAGCAGAAACCGCATCTCAGATGTTGCCAAGATAAATAATACAGCAAACACAGACCACTGCGCCTGCGTTCAAGATCCTCCTTCTACTAAGCAATCTCTTTTCCCCAGAATCGTGAGTTCTCCTCAGTCAGGCAAGGGAGATTGGAAAGCAAGGGGCGGGCGACAGGTGCAAAGATCACGTTCTAATCCAAATGAACTGACAAAGCAGATGAAGGCTCAAAAGCGATCAGTGGAGAAATAAGTCAGATGGGGATTTAAGAAACTCTGCATGACAAGCACCCTCAAGACTCGGGTGGCTACAGAGTAGACGGGATCTGCTTGAGTGAACCCCAGCACACATGAGAAGCCTACTGGGTGTCAGTGCAGATCCACTAAGGCGTCAGCTCTGCTCAGCTGCTGGATCAGGGCCGAAGTTAGGCAGAAAGTGATATTTTGGCAGGAATCTACTGAAAACCAGGGGATGAGCAATGTCCTGAGTGCTGTCCATCCTGAGGGAGCTCAATAGCCCATCTCTGGACAAGGGGAGCACAGGCTGAATCACGCAGGGATCATGGGGATCTTTACCTAGGCAGCCTTCCCATATTGCCAGCTAATTAGTCCTGGTCTTAAAGCCTCAGCTCCTGCAATCCTGTGATTACAAGAGAATTTGGGCATTTGTGCATCGCTAGCTGGGCTGCTTGGGGAAAATGCCTGAGAACACAGCACATAGGCAAATCCCAACGAGGGAAATGTGTTATATGGTTCAGACGTGGTGGTTTTTAATATGCCACCCTCGTGATTTGCCAGGACCTGAGTCACTGAACGCCTGGCACTGGCCACACGGCTTTCCGGTGGGGGCAGATGGAGCCACTCCCCAGGCTGGTGCAATGCAGGAGGGAGGCTGACAACAGCACTGTGGGTCACTTGTAAATCTGGTGGGGGGGCTCATTCCTGTCAAGGACTGAGCTGTGAACAGGGAGCCTCTTCTTGCTGACAGGACCAGAGATGCCCTGGAAGCTGGGCACTGATGGGGATGGACAGGCAGGGGCAGATCCAGGGCAACTGCTTGATGGCTCACTATAATCTCTCAACCTGTGGCCCGTAAAGCCATGCATCTGGCCCGTGGGGGTCCCCAAGGGTCAGGGAGTTTGGCAGTGGAGGTTCAGTGGCAATTAGTATGGCCACAGGCCGCCCTCCCCCCGCCAAATTGCCAAACCCTATGTGCCAGGTCAGAGTCATCCCTCCCTGCAGCTGGATTGGGGCCGGGCCATATCCCCTCCTCCCCGTGGCCGGATCAAGGGCTGGGCCATGCCACCTTCCCCTCCACAGGGCTGAATCAAGCCCCATTCTCCCTCAGGCCAGGTTGGGGCCAGGTTGCTTTTTTGCCCCCCTCTGCACAGCTGGATGGGACCTGCCTGCCTGCCCTGGGTGCTGGCTCAGCCTGCTGGGCACAAAGGTTGAGCATCACTGATGTACCACATCCCTCTTTTGCTCTTCATTCCAGGAGCACGAAGGACCCTCTCTGCTTTCTAATGGCCCGGCTGCTCCAGCAGTCCAGCTAGTCTGTGCGCTCCCCTCCTACTGCCTCTTGGCTGCTCCTGGATGCTCTTAGGGCCTAGATGCTCCAGCAGTCCAGCTAGCCTCTGTGCTGGCTGCTTGGCTGCTCCTGGTCATGGAGCTCCTATTCATAGATTTCATAGGTTTCATAGACATTAGGGCTGGAAGGGACCTCGGAAGATCATCGAGTCCAGCCCCCCGCCCAAAGGGCAGGAAGTCAGCTGGGGTCATAGGATCCCAGCAAGATAAGCATCC